CTACGTAACCTCTTCACATATCACAATCCCTTGATACATGGGATCAACCTAATGAACCTTCTGTAGACTGCCTCCGATATCAATATGTATTTCCTTAAGAAGGATAACTAGAGAAAGTGCAAGACCCATAAGGACCAAAGTGATAATTTGTACATGGAACAAGATGATATGATTATGTTTCTAAATGAATACTTTTGAATCAGTGTTCACTAGTGAGAGGGACAGTTTTGGTGTAGAAATCAGGGAGAACAACTGTGATATACTTTTAAATAAATTAGCATAGAAAGAGAGGAGGCTCTAACTGGTCTGGCAGGCTTGAAATTAGTTAAATTCCAGGGCTTATTGAAATGTATCCCAGGCTGTTGAGTGAGACAATAGAGAAAATAGCAAGGGTGCTGGCAATAATTTTCAATTCTCCTGTGAACATGGGGAGAGGTGCCAGATGCCCAGAGGACAGCCAGTGTGGTGCCATTATTCAAGAAGCAAGCAAGGGATAAACCAGGAAACTACAACCAGTTAATCTTACCCTTGGTGGTGGGGAAACTATCGATGCAATTGGGAGGGACAGAATTAATCTGCACTTGGACCGATAGAGATTTACCAAGAACAGCCAACGTGGTTTTATTAAGAGGCAGTCATGTCTGACAAACTTGATTAAATTTTTCAAGGAATTGACTATGTGCCTAGATGTGGATAATGCTTTTGATGTAGTCTACTTGGACTTCAGCAAGGCTTTTGATAAAGTTCTGCATGGAAAATTGATAGTAAAGGTAAGAGCCCGTAGGATCCAAGGAAATTTGGCTAATTGGATCAAGAATTAGCTGCATGGCAAGAAGCAGAGTGTGATGGTCAAGGGGTATTTTTGTGACTGTAAGCCTGTCTCCAGTGGGGCGCCATAGGGATCAGTGTCGGGGGCCCTTGCTGTTTGTTGTGTATGATTTAGATTAAAATGTAGGATGGTTAATCAGTGACTTCATGGATGATCTGAACATTGTTGAAGTGGTTACCAGTGAAGGGAGATAGCCTTAGATTACAGGAGGGTGGAGAGAGTCTGATCAAATGGGCTGATTAGTAGCAAATGGTAAGTGTGAAAGCATATGGAAAGACTTGCCTTTATTAGCCAAGGCACAGAGTTCAAGAAGAGGGAGGTTATGCTGAAACTGTATAAAAGTTTGGTTAGGCTAATGGTGGAGTATTGTGTACCGGTCTTGGAGTCCACATTTTTACTGAGGTGCAGTGGATATTTACCAGGATGTTACCTGAGGTCTAGAGAGTTTGTGTATGGAGAGATTGAATAGACTGGAATTGTTTTCCTTGGAGCAGAGGAGTCTGAGACATGCAGGGAGACATGATTGAATGTATAAAGTTATGAGGGGATGGAGTTTAAAAACAGGGAGGCTATGCTGCAGCTGTATAGGGTCCTGGTGAGGCCACACCTGGAGTACTGTGTGCAGTTTTGGTCTCCTTACTTGAGAAGAGATATACTAGCACTGGAGGGGGTGCAGAGGAGATTCACTCGGTTGATTCCAGAGTTGAGAGGGTTGGATTATGAGGGGAGACTGAGTAGACTGGGATTATACTCATTGGAATTCAGAAGAATGAGGGGAGATCTTATAGAAACATATAAGATTATGAAGGGAATAGATAAGGTGGAAGCAGGGAGGTTGTTTCCGCTAGCAGGTGAAACTAGGACTAGAGGGCATCGCCTCAAAATAAAGGGAAGCAGATGTAGGACTGAGGTCAGGAGGAACTTCTTCACCCAAAGGGTTGTGAATCTGTGGAATTCCCTGCCCAGTGAAGCGGTTGAAGCTACCTCACTGAATGTTTTTAAGGCAAGGCTAGATAATTTTTTGAACAGTAAAGGAATTGAGGGTTATGGTGAGTAGGCGGGTAAGTGGAGCTGAGTCTCAAAGATCAGCCATGATCTTATTAAATGGCGGTGCAGGCTCAAGGGACCAGATGGCCTACTCCTGCTCCTAGTTCTTATGTTCTTATAGACAGGGAGAAACCTCTTTCCTTGGTGGAGGGATCATAGATTTAAGGCAGGAGGTTTAGAGGGGATGTGAAGAAAATATTTTTTCACCCAGATGGTGATGGAAATCTGGAATTCAATGACTCGAAGGGTGGTGGAGGTTGAATTCCTCATACCATTTAAGAAGCATTTAGAGGTGCACTTGCGATGCCAAGGCATTCAAGGCTATGGCCGTGTGCTAGAAAATGAGATTAGAATATTTAGGTGTTTGTTTAGTACAGACTAGTGCAGACTTGATGGGCCAAAGGGCCTTTTCTCATGCTGTAGATCTCAATGACTATACCTCTATAAGGGACCCAGAACTATTCAGTTTTCTGGATGTGATCTGACTAGTTCCTTGTATAGTTTTAGTAAGACCCCCCTATTTTTATACTCCATTCCATCTGAAATAAAGACCAGCATTTCATTTGCCTTCCCTATATGACTGCTGAGTTTCGATGGTTGATGTTTTGTGATTTATGCACGAGGGCTCCCAAATCCTTCCATTTTTAAATAACATTCAGCTCCTATATTCTACTTGCCAAAGTGCATTAGCCCCAATTTCCCCACATTACATTTCATCTGGCAAAACAAACTTGGCCAGTCACTTAACCTGTCTACGTCCCTCTGTGGACTATGCCATCCTTACCACTTACCTTCCCACCTATTGTGGTGTCATCTGCAAACTTAGCTATATTACATTCACTTTCCTCATCCTGGTCATTTAATATATATTGTAAAAGCATTATGGCCCCAGCACTGATCCCTGTGGCACTCTGCTGTCCTTTAAAATGCCCCCTTTCTCCCAACTCTCTGCTTTCCATTAATTAAACCAATCCTCTATCCATGCTACTTTACTACCTCCAACACCAAAGGCTGTTATCCTATTAAGTAGTCTAATGTATGGTACCTTATCAAATGCCTTGATGGACAGGATTTGGGGAGTCATGACTCCCTAAATCCTGTCTATCAAGGCATTTGAGAAGGTACCACAAAATAACAGCATCTGAGCTACTGTTGGAGCCTTAGTATTTTTATTGCAAATCTAATTCAGTTTCTGGTCAAAGGTACCCCCACAATGTTGATAGTGGGGGATGGACTGACGTGATACCAGTTCACATCAAGAGAAGCCTGTAAGATTTAATTTTGTTGATATGATCATTGCCTGTGTGTGGTAGAGTGTTACTTTCCACTTATTAGCTGAGGCCTGGTGTGGCTGGGCCTTGTAGCCTCTGCACACAGACTTCTTAAGTTTCTGAGACTTGTGAATGGTGTTTCTACACTTATCAGAGAATAACTCCACTTCTGACTGTATAATAGAGGGAAGGTCATTGATAAATCAACTGAGAATGGTTGGGCCTAACACTAGCCTGAGGGACTTGGATTCATGTGGTGCAATGGTAGTGTCTGCACCTCTGAGCCAGGTGACAAGGGTTCAAGCCCCATCTGTTCCAAAGGTTGTGATAACACATCTGAACAAGTTGATTAATAATATCTGTCCTGAGGAACTTGGGGATCTTGTGGGCAAGGTGAAAATGTCCTATCCCGAGACCAGATACCTGGGTTCAAATCTCACCTGATGCAGAACTGTGTCATAACATGTCTAAACAGGTTGATTAAAATATCTATCCTGAGAAACTGCTGTAGTGATCTCCATGACTGTGATGATTAACCTTCACCCACAGCATCTTTACTGTGCTTGGAGAGTTTTCCCGATTCCTATTGACATCTGTTCTATCAGTGCTGCTTGATTCCACGTACTAGCCAATTGCTGTATTGACGTCACAACAGTCATTCTCACGTCCCTTCTGCAGTTCACCTGCTTTTTCTATGTTTGGACCGAGGTCATTCAGCTTCTAACTTTATTACCCTGTAAGAACCTAAATTGAGCTTCGATCAGCAAGTTATTACTGACTAATTGCCGATGATCCTTTCCATCAATTTGCTCAAGACATTGGCTGAGTTAGATTTGTCTTGCTTTTTGAGGATATGACATAATGGATATTTTTTCTCATTGCCAGGTAGATACCATTACTGTTGTTTTACTGGAGAGGTTTGGCAAAGAGCACAGCTAGTTCTGGAACATACATCTTCAGTGTTTTACCAGAATTTTGTCAAAACCCACACCCTTGCAGTGTCCAGTGCCTTCAACCATTTCTTGATTTTTATGTGGAGTGAATCGAGATGCCTGAAGACTTGTAACTCTGATGCAGGGGCATTCAGAAGGAGGCAGAAATGAAATTTGCACCTGACATTTTTGATTGAAGATAGTTGCACGTGCAACTATGTTGTGTTCATTGATGTGCTAGACTTCCCTGTCATTGAAGTTGAGGACATTTGTGTTGCCACACCCTTCTGATAGTTGCTTAATTATCCACTACCGTTTACTCTTAGATGTAGTAGGATAGCAGAGCTTAGAACTGATTCGTTGGTAGTGAAATCACTTCGCTGTATCTATAGCATGCTGTTTTTCATGTTTGGCATACTAGTCATCCCACGTTATAGGTTGACCAGGTTGACACCTCAGTTTTAGGTATGCAAGATGCTGCTCCTGGTGTGCTCTCCTGTCCTCTTGGACCAGAATTGACCCCTTGGCTTGATGATAATGGTAGGGGGTGTATATACTGGGCCACAAGGTTACAAATTGTGTTTGAGTACGATTTTGCTGGTGCTGATGTTACACAGTCTTGAGATTTCCCAGTTATAAATTTGCTAAATTTGTTTGCAATCTGTTCCACTCTGAGCAGATTAGCACGAACAGTGCAAGTTCCACCCCTGACTCTGATGTGGTAGTTCTTGTAGGTTAGCCTCCTCGTCTTGCCCCGTGCCTGTTTGTGCTCCACAAATTGATTAACCACTTGTCTGTCTCTAATCCAGAGATTGCCAGTAATCTCATGGATGATAGTGAATTACAATTACCAATTGTTTACGTTTTGAAACATTTGAATTGAACTTCTTTTCACACACATTCAATGTATTTAATCCTCAGATCCGACAGCCACCTGTCAAACGTCTGAGACTGCGAGGGGATTGGTCTGATACCGGGCCAAGGGCTAGACCAGAGAGTGAGCGAGAACGAGATGGTAAGAACTTCTTACATTAGGCGTGGCTACATTATTATTAATGATAAAGGACTTGATCTCTAAAGCTAACAGTTTGTGTGGATTGGATATGGATTGGACATGAATACTAGTAGAAAGCAAAATTGTTTGGATTTAACTTAAATGTTATAGATTTTCTTGATCATAGCTTTAAATTCATTATATAGAATGGCAAAACTTGAATGTACTTAAGATAGTACTTGCATTTAGATGCTGTTCAAGTAAATATTATTTCTTTTGCTTTGTTCAAATGGTTATAAATATTTTGTAAATCTTCAAATGATTTTAGTTGTTTCCCAGGCACAAACATTTAAGGCAATATGTAGTAACTCTCAGCAAAGACTTAGCCCAGTGAGAGAGAATGTGTTATCCATGGCTAAATAAGGATGACAAGGATGGTACTAAATTGAAAGAAACACTATAAATCTGCAAAGAGGGAGGCTTGAGGAGTGGGCAGACTTTAAGAACCAGTGAAAAAATTTTTTATTCACTCATAGGATGTGGGCATTCTGGATGGTCCAACATTTATTGTGTATCACTAATTGCCCTTGAAAAGGTATTGTGAGCTGCCTTGTTGAAACGCCAACCTCCACCCCACCCTGTAGTCCACATGTCGTACATACACCAATGTCATCAGCAATGCCATTTGAGAGGGAATTCCAGGATTTTGACCCTGTGACAGTGAAGGAACGGCAATATATTTCCAAGTCAGGATGGTGAGTGGTTTGGAAGGAACTTGCAGGTGGCATGTTCCCATAGACGTGTTACCCTTGTGCTTCTAGATGGAAATGGTTGTGCATTTGGAAGGTGCTGACTAAGGATCTTTGACTTTCTGCAGTGCAACTTACAGATAGTATATACTGCTGCGGCTGAATGTAGGTGGAAATGGGAATAGATGTTTGTGGACATGGTATCAAACAAGCGGGCTGCTTTGTCTTGGATGGTGTCAAGCTTCTTGAGTGTTGTTGGAGCTGCAATCAACCAGGCAAATGGGGAGTATTCCATCACACTCCTGACATGCGCCTTATAGATGGTGGACAGGCTTTGGAGAGTCAGGAGATGAGCTATTCGCTACAGGATTCCTAGCTACTGAATTTATATGGTGAGTTCAGTTGAGTTTCTGATATCCTCAGGATGTTGATATTGGGGGATTTAGTGATGGTGAGGCAGTGGTTAGATTACCTCTTATTGGAGATAGCCAGGCATTTGTCTTTTACATATATTATTTGCTACCTTTTCAGCCTAAACCTGCATATTGTCCAGATTTTCTTGCATTTGAACATGTACTGTTTCACTATCTGAGGAGTGGCAAATGGTGCTGAAATTGTGCAATCATTGACAAACATTCCCACTTCTGACATTATGATTCAGGGAAGATCATTGAAGCAACTGACAATGGCTGGGCTTAGCACACTGCTCTGAGGAACTCATCCAGAGATGTCCTGGAGCTGAGATGACTGATCTCTAATAACTACAACCATTTTATGTGCCAGGTATGACTCGAACCAGTGGAGACATTTCCCCCAATTCCTATTGATTCTAATTATGCCAGTCTCCTTAATGCCAAACTCGGTCAAATGCTGCCTTGATGTCAATGGCTATTACTCTCACCTAATCTCTGGAATTCAGCTCTTTAGTTCACGTTTGAACCAAGCCTGTTATTAGTTCAGGGGCTGTAATGAATTCAGGGGTGGACCTGGTGGAACCCAAACTGGGTATATTTTTAGAGTGACTAAAACAAAACTTGAGGCAGTAAACAGGGTTTGAGATTAACCCAGCTAATAGGATGAAAACAGACAGAAATATTTCTACAAGCATTTGAACAGGAAATGAGAAACTCAAGTTTGTGCTTTTTCTCAAGATCAGTGGCTCCCATCATTTTCAATATCAAGGCTTCAATGAGACAGATAATTCCATGGCACACCCACTTTTCTCAGCTTAATTGCTCATAATCATGACATTTACTTGCATTTACTATGGTTAGAGCCTTACAAAAGAGCTTTGCATTGTGAGGTACACAACAAGCCAAATAAGGATCAAAAGCCACCGGCAAAAAAATACAGTCTTTGACTGCGAGCACAGAAAAGTTTGCAAAATTTGCTTAACTGTTTCTAGCTAGTCATGAACAATGGATCTAAGCAAAATACAGCAGAGAGGAATTTGCAATTAACTGGGTTAGTGCGAAACCTAGGAATGGCAGTGTGCACAGAGCCTTTGATCTTGGGGCTGTAGGGGGATACAGGGGATATTGATGAGAAAATGCAAATCTTGCTCCAATGACAAGTGCTCCCACCTGTTGTTTTCATGTAGGCCAGTTTTGAAAATGCTAGCTCGCAGAGTTATGTTGTCACAAACAGCAAGAGTACAGGTGTGGCATTTGATTCTTGTGTTCTTTACAAATGGGCAACAGCCAGAAATATGGGCGAAGGGTTTCGTTTGGAGCCTTGCCTCTCCAGCAAGTTTTTATTATATTTGTCCTGACCCTGGTCAGGGTTGAACAAGTTGGGTACAGGTTGCCTTGTAGTAGGAGGTTGTTAAGTACTTGACGATTTGCATTGGTAGGTAGACTTGATCCATGTTCTGGAGATCTTGTCACCCTTGAAATATGAAAGGTATTGTGTGCAATTCTGGCCTCCTGAAGGAGGTCTCCCTGTAGGAAGGATGTTGTGAACCTAGATAGGTTTCAGAAAAGATTTACGAGAATGTTGCCAGGGTTGTACAGTTTGAGCTATAGGGAGAGGCTGAATAGACTGGGGCTGTTTTCCCTGGAAGCGCCGGAGGCTTAAGGGTGACCTTGTAGAAGTTTATAAATTGATGAAGGGCACGGATAGGGTAAATAGGCAAGGTCTTTTCCCTGCGGTGGGGGAATCCAAAACTAGAGGGCATAGGTTTAAGGTGAGAGGGGACCCAAGGGGCAACCTTTTCACGCAAGAGGGTGCTATGTATCTGGAATGAGCTGCCAGAGGAGGTGGTGGAGGCTGATACAATTACAACATTTAAAAGCTATATGAATAGGAAGGGTTTAGAGGGATATGGGCTAAATGCTGGCAAATGGGACAAGATTTTTATAGGATATCTGATCGGCATGGACGAGTTGGACTGAAGGGTCTGTTTCTGTACTGTATATCTCTGTAGAAATGTCATGGTAAGAGATCATCAGATATTTATGCATAGCAGTCACCCAAAACACACACATTCTTCTTTTTCTTTTAATGTCAGCTTTTGTGATGTTTCAAAAGACAGTGAACTGAATGGATCTGTATCCAGTCCTAGCTCTCCACATTTGTTGGGGGGGGGGGGAGGTAGAATTTGAACATTTCTTGCGGTGGTCTGAGGTGTTTGAGTATGAAGTTGTGCATCTTGACAGCTGCATCTATTGCTGATTTAAGCTAGTGGAAACAGCTCAAGTGAACCCCTGCCATTGTCGCTAGCCAAAGAATCCGTTTTGACCTGAAACCTTGAAGTTTCTCTCTGTTGGTCAGGATTGCCTTGTTATCCCACTGCATTTTATCATTCAGGTGACTGAAAAAAATCTGCGACAAATGCCAGTTTAGCCCACCAGTAATCTTGGAATTCATTGCTTCCAGTATCTTTCCTGAGATAAGGGGATCAAAACTGTTCACAGAATTCTAGGTGTGGACTAACTAGAAACTTGGATAATTTTAATAAGACTTCTATATTTTTATGCTCCATTCCCTTGGAGATAAAGGCCAACATTCCATTTGTTTTCTCCATAACCTGCTGAACTTGGATGCTAGATTTTTGGAATTTATGCACAAGATCACCCACATCAGTCTGTGCTATACTAGCAATGCTAAACCACCACCTTTTTCTTCCTGCCTGTCCTTTCAAAAAGTCACATACCCCTAAATATTTAGTTTCCATCTTTAGTTTCCTCATAACTATGTTTCCACAGTGGCTTTAAGATTACGCCTACTAACTGCTTATCTCTTGCTCTAGAGACTTTACTACTTGCAGCAAACCTTAATCATAGCATGTCCATTGCCCTGTACACCAAATTCACACTTTGAACAGATATACTCACTTGGATTTGCCAGTTCTTTGTTCTCATTATCAGTTCCCCTGTTTCAGACTGTAAGGGGTCTACCCTTGTCTTCACTTTTTTTGTTTTCTTTTAAAATATATTTATTAAAAGATTCTCTGGGACAAGACCTATATGCATTTAGAAGCTAATAGACTTATTAACGATAGAGGTGTGCAGAGGAGGTCATGCCTCACTAACTTGATCAAATTTTTTGAGGTGACTAAGATGATTTGAAGGAAAAACGTTTGATGTTGTCTACGTGGATTCGGTAAAGCCTTTGACAAGGTCCCTCATGGCAGACTGGTACAAAAGGTGAAGTCACATGGTATTGGGGTGAGCTGGCAAGATGGATACAAAATGATTCTGTCATAGGAGACAGAGTGTAGCGGTGGAAGGATGCTTTTTGGAATGGAGGGTTGTGATTAGTGGTGTTCCACAGGGATCAGTGCTGGGACCTCTGCAGTTTGTGCTGTACATAAATGATTTGGAGGAAAATGTGCTTGGTCTAATTAGTAAGGTTGCAGACAATACAAAGATTGTTGAAGTTGCTAATAGTGAGGATTGTCCAAGGATACAGCAGGACATAGATCAATTGGAGGCATAGGCAGACAAATGACAGACGGAGTTTAATCTGGACAAATGTGAGGTGATGTGTTTTGGAAGGTCAAATACCGGTGGAAATCATATAGTGAATGGCAGGCCCCTTAGGAGTATTGATATGCAGAGAGATCTGGGTGTGCAGGTTGATAGATTGCTGAAGGTAGCAGCAGGTAGATAAGGTAGTTTTTAAAAAAGGCTAGTAGCTTTGGAAGGGGCATTGAGTATAAGGATAGACAAGTGATGCCGCTGCCTTATTGAACTTTAGTTAGGCCACTCTTAGAATGTTGCGTACAGTTCTGGTCACCACGCTACTGGAAGGATGTGGATGCTTTGGAGA